AGGGTGGTGGCGTTTGTCTTCCCAAGTCACCGTTACGCGTGATGGAGCCCTGCTGTCCTGGGGATGGCTGAGCCCCTGCCTGCCGGTGGGAAGCAGGGAATGAATTCCTTGGTTTGCTTTGCTTGTGCGTGGCTTTTGCTTTGCCTACTGAACTGTCTTTATGCCAGCCCAGGAGTTTTCTCACTTCTTCACCTGTCCAAGTCTCTCCCCGTCCCGCTGGGGGTTAAACCACGACACAGCACCGTGGGACCTGCCCTGACACCAGAGACGTTTCTGTCAAGACCTCAGCACCGGGTCAAGGCTAAAAAAAGAGCTCCAAGATTTATTGCAGAGAAGCGGGAACCAGCCAGGCCCAAGCTGTTCCAGTGCTACTTATTTATATCAGGCACATTGGCTGCTGGAAGACGGAGCCACCACCTGCGCGGGGGCTGCGCACGCCTGGCGCCAGCGTTGGGGGTGCTGAGCTCATGGCCTGGCCCGTGGCCGCTGGAGCTCCTGCCTGCCCACCTCTGGCCTCCGAGACATGAGAGCAACGAGCCCCAAAGCAAAGCCACGTGTGCCATCAGCTCCATGAGGCATCAAGAAGGAAGTAATTTGACACACAGGCTTAAAAATTAGTCCCAGGCACCGTTTCTGTACAAATAAATCATCTCTGCGTATGACAATGGCTGACTGAGGACTGCGTGCCCACGGGAAAGATTTATAACCCTCACTTGCTCAAATCCTGCGTGCGATGACCTGGCTGGGGGGCTGCAGCACCGAACATCGGCGGCGGGGGGCCAAAAATGTTTTCTTCAAACTCCTGACACCGTCCAAAATAGCGTCACCTCCATCTGTCCCTGGAAACGAACACGCAGCGCTGCAGATGTGGGTGCTGCTAATTTAAAAAAAAAGGTGTGTTATTTATACGCATTTGTATGAGAGGTAGAATATTTATCTTTATTTAAGGAGCACTCCAGCTGCAGCTCAGTGGTCCGTCAGTTCCACGTTCTTGTCTATTATTGCAGGCTTAAAGCCCACACGTATTGAGCTGTTCCTGACAGCAGCCTCCAAATTTCCTTACCGGGAGCAAAAGTTCAAAAATTCTCTGTAGCAAGAGGCTCAGGCTGTAAATAAAGCTTCTGCTGTGCCTGCCTGAGGATTTGTTTGGGTTTTGACTTTTATTTTTTATTATTTTTTGAATAGACAAAAGGCCACAGAACAAAAGGCAGAGCACGGCTACTGCGCAGCCAATTTGACAGCCAAAACAAATTTCGCAGGCTACGGGAAAGCCCGGCACAGGGCGGGGAGCAGCTGTACCCCCCACCCGCTGCGGCTGCTTCACGTTGGCCGGTGGGGGCAGCCGGGATTAATCAGGCCTAAGCGCAGCTGCAGCCCCCAGCAAGGACTGGAATTAATTCCACACACAACAGCCGCCCAGGTGCGCCCCGAGGAAGCAGGTAGTGGTGTAAAACAAAAATAAAAATAAATGAACCCCACCCTGCTGTGGAGCTGCCGGCACACCACGCCGCCCGGCTTCTCCCCCGCCCCCAAAGGCTGGGCAGCCCTGCAGGGCCCCACAACAGCGACTTGGGAGCCCCTTTCAAATCTCTGTGCCCCACCAAGGGCCGCCTGCCCGGCGCAGGCCTCCGCTGCAGTACAGCTTTGAGGGGGGCCAGGGTTGGTTTTAAAAGACTTTTGGTGGTAGGAAGGAACTTGGCTGGTGTCTAACTTAATTATTCCCATTGCAGTGCTTTATCTGGATGAAGTTCCGCGTCAGCCTATTGTTCTGGTTTACAGTTAAATTTCTTCCCCCCTGCGCTTCTGCCCCCAGGGCGGCTGTCACATGCGGTCTGCCACAAGTGACTCCCTCCTCTCTGCGGGAAGGCGCGGGTCTATGATTACGCCGACATTACCGTTACTTGCCTCGCGCTGCCCACAGGTCAGTCGCTGGATGCCAGAGTATTCGTGCAGTTGGAAAAGGTTCCTGCAGCCCGAGCAAAAGGGCCGGGCTGTCCTGGCGCTGCCGTCCTTGGGACTGCACGCTTCCCAGGGAAGGCAGGGCACGGCGGCGCGATAAACGAGGCCGAGGTGGCTGAGAAAAAAAAATATGCTGGGTAAGAAGAGCTTTCCTCTTCCGCGGCAGCTTCCACGCGCTGAAGAAGCATCCAGGGCTGAGGTAAAAAGTCAAAGAAAGGTAAAGAGTGAAATAAAAGAACTTGGGAAGGAAAACATAGAAATTGAGGAGGGGGGAAAAAATAAAGAGAGAAATGATCTGCGAAACCTTCCAGGATGTGAGAGAGGGAGAAAGAGCTGGCTATGAAGAAAAGGGAGTGAAACAAGGGAAGACCCAAATTATGTGAACATTGGTTCGCATCAGTCTCTTATTTGGTGCTTTCTGGTCCAAGAGCTACAAAGAGCAAGGCCATACAGATTAATAAAAAAATGGTACTTTATTTTAAATGCAGCTACTGTCACGAGTCATCAAAATAGACTTTGTAATAGTTACTTTGTTTTAAATATGAGGTGACGAATGACAGCTAAGAATTTAAACTACATGAAATGTCCTAAAATTGTAAATTAAGAGAGCTAAATTTAAATATTACAAATGACAATTTTCAGAAGAAAAAAGGGAATAAAAATATTTTCCAGAAAAAGTAAAATAATTTGGCCAGTAAAACGATACTAAAACCATAAATTCATGAGATACTTGCACGTGAAATACTTGAAGAGGACTCCTTTCTGTCACTGTCATTTAAAGGATCCACAGAGCTAAAATCTCACAATTTAAATTACATTGCTCTAATAATTTCTCTTACTTAAAAACAGTTCGATAATCCAGGATAATCCAAGGAACCACTGATAAATTGCACTTCTACGCGGTGTTCTGCAGCAGGGCTGCTGCTATCGCTGCTGCACCCGGCCAGGGGCCGGCGACCACCCGGACCTTCTCACGCGCACAGCTCTTGGTGGCAGGGTGTTTCTGAAGGGTCCTCGCAATGGTTGTGCCAGGCGTAGCAGCTGAGGGCTCCTCACAAAGCCCTCCAGAATGACTGAAAATCATGGCTGAAGGGGAAGGGGGTCTTGGCTTAATGCTTCTCGGCTGCATCCTCGCTGTCTCAGCTCTCAAAATGCCACTGCTGAGGAAGGGACCCATCGCAGATGGCCATGGTCACGTACCCTTTGTGGCTAAGTGGGTCTACCACCTTCATGCACTGCCCCACGGAGACCTGGTAGAGGCGGTTGTTTTTCTACAATGAGAAAGACAGATGGGATTTATTTATTAGAACTGTTGTTCTCACTGTCAAACTGAAGCTGAAACCGACGCTTAAGGGGAGGGGGCAGATTTCAGGTGTATGCAGCACTGGCTCAGTTTTGTGAAATCGGCCACTCCAGACTCTAAGCCATTAAACTAACAAGGTGCTATTACAGGGCAGAAGCAACTGCAAAAAAAACTCCTCTCAACTCTCAGCTCTGCCCTGTGCTTCTTCAAGCACTAAGCAGAAATCACCATATGGACTGCTCCTGTCTCCCAGTCCCGCAGACACAACACAATAGGGAGCTGTGGGGTGGATTTTGTTCTCTCTCTGGCAAGTCCCTGTGAGCCACAGTGCTGCAGGTGGCTGCAACAAGCAGAAAAAAGGCTAAATGGGGCTGCAGAAACCTTCCTATGTTGCAAAGGAAAATGCGTGCCTGTCCCAGAGCTCAAGGAAAGTCTTGTTCAGGCTGAAAGGCAGCCACCAAAGCTGTGTAACTTCTGTACATGCTGCTTGGACTGTGGGCTGGGCCTAGCACAGCACCACTGGCTTCGTACATCCGAGGTCTGGTCGTAATGAAACTCAGCCCTGGTATCCTGTTAGTGCTATTACCGCTTATCGAGACATTAATTACAAGCAACGTGCTATATGCCAGCCACTCCACTTACCCCAAATGTCCACTGCTGTGAGCCGCCAGACCCATGGCATTTCATGAGACGAGGTGGATCGGATGAGCGAGTTTCCGAAACATCCAAGCAAAGGAGATTATTTAAAATCAGCTCGTGATCTTCATTGTAAATCCAGACCTGAAAGAGAAGACAGAAAGACATTTACCCCAATGTTTCAAGGCAGGTGCCTTGCATCTTTTGGTCGGCTACAGAAGAGGCACTTTAGCATCTGGATGTCAGAGATGTGCCTTGCAGCACTCACTGCCTCTTTGCTGCCTTTTTGCCAGCAACTGAAATGCAACTGCAGTGCTCTGTGGCCTTCCCAACATCACACAGCGTTAGCCCACGCAGAGGCACTAAAAGGACCACTTGTGATCCTGCTCTGTACTAGCATTTATAAAATTAAGCAGCCCCCATATGTTCCTCCTGTCCAGGCAGCTACACAAGACAACGCGACAGGCAAGCGGTAGATTCCCAAGGGGGTCACCAGCCGCTCGCTGAGCCAGGTCATTAAGCCTGGCGGTGAAACTCCTCGTCCAAAGACAATCCTTTAGTCATGAAGGCTGGTGGTTTGCCTCAACTCCTCGTAGGGAGCCAACATATGGGGGCCAGAAGAGGATGCTGGGTGACAGCAGGTGGCCCCAAAACTGTGGGGAAGTAGCTCGGGAGGCACGCAAGGCCAAAAGGTATCTCCAATCTTCTTTGAAACTGCTGCATTTGCCCATAAACACATAGGAATTTATTTAACATTGTGCTCTGGGGTCAGCTTGTAGATGCTGAATGATGAGAAATCAAAGTCAGCTATGCAAATTCTGGTGTCAGGTAGCCTACATTAGTCCCCACATTGGTCCCAGGGTCCTACTCCTTACAGCTAGTGGCCTGGTGCTCAGCTCTTCACTCAATTAGGAGGTGATCGCCAACATCCAGATACTATTAAGACTTTCCACGCTGCTCTCCAGGGAGCAAGAGAAATCACTGCTTCACCATTCCCGTTCTGAAACTACATTCTCCATAACCGCCAGGTTCATGCCCTTCTCTGCTCCCCAGCCAAACTGTTTGTGCTAGCTGTACTGTGCTTAGAGGGAGACCAGCCCTCCCACACCACACCCACTTTGTTTTAGCTGAACCAACATGAAAATGTCTTGATCTGGACCTCGAGAACCCACACAATATCCCAGCAGCTCACATAGTGGTGGGAACTGAATTCAGCTTCTCTCTGGGGCCCACGTGTACAAAGCAAGAACGTACTAGTTCACGTTCCCAGCTTCAGCTGCATTTGAATGTCCATGATGCTACAGGAGTTTCTCTGTTACCACACTGAAAACCATCATCACCTCTAACAAGAAGCAAGGACACACTCAACCTCTCAGTTTGTCCTCTCCCAGATGCTACTCGGATACAAGCAGATATTTTTATTGTTGGTGTAAAATGCTGACAGGCACCTTGAGTTGCTGCAGTTCATGCCCATAGCCTGCAGCCCTCACAGGGCTGCCTAAACCGTGCTTTGGAGCAAGGTGTGTCTGACACGGCTGAAGGTTGAAGGAAGCTGGACCATCAGTCTGGTCTAACTGCAGAAGCTGCTGGTCCCCGCTCCCTCCCTCAGTGCCTTCAGGCCTGCAAAGTCCTGGGCCAGTGTCAGTTAGGCAGAGGACCTCAAGCTCTCATAAAAAACAGGAGAGAGTTATACCGGGGCCAGAAAGCAAAGAAATGGATGAACTTTGGTGCGTAAACCTCAAAATACCCTAGGTTAGAAAGGGGTAAGGAAAAGGAGAAGAAAGTATGTGAAAACTGTAATTCTGCAGTGCAGGAAAGATACTGAGACCACCTGGCCAAATGCCAAACTGCTCTTCTGAATGCACAGCGGGACCTCTGCATTCACATGGCACCTGGGCAGCAGCTCCCACCCTCTTCAGATGCTGAGCAGGCAACAACAGAGCTGGCCAGGCCTCCGAGTCTGCTGCCCTTCCCAGACCCAACCCCGGGCTGGTGCGTACAAGGAGCATCCCTGCTCATCCACCTCACCTGCCACCACCAACTCCCTTCCCCCAACTTCTGCCCATGTGTACCAGAAGTACCTGTACCTACAGGCACGCTACATTCCTCTGCTGCACTCTTCTTCCAGCCCTGGTTTGATTTCACACAGCTCAGTGATGCAGTAACCATGCCCGCTATGGGATTCCGCCCCCCCCTCCCAGTTTTCATGAGTTTCAAAGGATAGGATATCTAATTCCAGGCAGAAAAGTCAGGCAAATAAAAAAAAAATCTGCTTTTTTTTTTTTTTGTCTGATGAATTAAAACCAGCCTTCTGGAGGGAGCTGTGATTTGGGACAGCATGACTGAAAAGCGTACAGCTCACTCGCTATCACAGTGACTATTATAACACAGTGAAGGACTCCTTTGAGGAAGTGCAGGTATTAAAATTTGCCCTAACCTCAAGCATTTTGTACCTTCTAACATACTGCTTTTTCTGTTTAAACCCTGCCATGAGCAAGAAAGCATGGCAAGATTAAAGAGGAGGAGAGAATGGAGAAAAAGCAGGACTTGCCAGAAGAGTATTACTAGAATAATGATGGAGCCAAATGCAAACGACAGATGAAACTGGTAAGAACTGAGAGAAGACTGCAGTGACACAGGGAGCAGACCTTTAATCAAAAGCTGAGTAATGGCAAAGAACACACAACAGCGGTTAAATCCAGATATACTGCTTCAGAAAGGCTTAGACAAGGTGGCCAAAATGAATTTCAAACTAATTACATGTTTAGAGTAACAAAGGAAAGAGGAATAAGAGGCCTGAATTTGGGAGACATGATGGTTCTAAATTCAGATTAGAGTATCAGGATGAACTTGCAGATTATTAACAGATGCAAGCATGAGGAAAGCAAAGCCACCCCTGGGGGTGTTTGCTACACAACTGCAAGCCTTGCACGCTCCAAACTTTATTAACTACTGGAAGGATGATGTTCTGGTCATTACAGGCTGTCAGGAACAACAGCCCACTATAGGAAGGAAACATCTCCTGGCAGCCAGCACCACTGGTGTCTGATCTGCAAGGAGAATGAACTGCTCTCATTTTCTTTTTGTCCATTACTTGCTTGGGTTCAGGCTCAAGCACAATATCAAGTCTACAATCAATAAGGTGCCTGCCTAGGTTTTACACCTCAGTTCTGAGTGATGTCTTGTTTTACCCTCCTATGTATTTTCTACCAAAAAAAAGTAATTTTAAAAATTTATTTTAAAAAAGCAACATAGGAGGTGCAGGACATTATTGTGCTGCATCCAATTCCTAATGCCTAGGGGAGCATCACTGTCAGATTTCAGTTTCAAAAAATGGAATTGTGCCGCACTCCCACTGCAGAGGAAAGCAGCACCTTTAATTGCTGTCACCCAGAGACACATGCTAAGGCCTTTCTGCTCCACAGGTCTAAGGAAGATCACTGACCATTTTCCCTGGAGTCAGGGAAACTCTGAAGAGTTGAAAAGAAAAACACTGGGATGCAATTAGAATATAATTAATTGCTTCTGTTTTCAAATAAAACCTAAATGTCAGATGTTATGGAAAAACCTCACTCCACAATGAAAACAATCAAGTTTTGGGTTAAATAAATGATTTAATGTAGTGAATGTAGGATTGGCATCTTTCTGGCAACTCTTTTTCTTTTTTTTTCCCCTGCCTCTCAACACAGGCAACAGGTTAAGAGGAAAGGTGCAAGGACACTTTCAGTCTTGGAGTGCAGTGGCCCATTCAGCCGCTGACCAACCCTTCTGAGGTCCTAGATGCCCTGGAGCACCCACAGATTTTCCTTAAGGCACAATGTTTCAGGTCTGGCAGCAATCAGATGCCTGCCCAAGTCTCCCACCCATCAGAGTCGATGCTTTTACCTTTGGCCACGGGGGCACAGAGGTCCTGCTCATGCGAAGTCACCCAGACCCCAGTAGCTGACTCAACCTTCCCATAGTGGAAACGGGACCTACAGATCTGGGGTAGGCGTTCTCACTGCTAGAGCAAAGCTGGTGGGTGTGTCCTTCTGGTCACCTACAGACAGATGCATCGCATGTGCTAATGTAGGTCTCGTGGACAAAATAAATGAGAGGAGGTCCAAAGTACAAACTCTGTTAGTATAAACCTTTTTTACACTGGTGCAGCTTAGGAAGAACCGGACTTTGAATTTAGTCCCCTCAAAAGGTAGTTCAGACTGTTTACAGATTTAAAACTGAGGTTTCCTAGGGCTTCTAGTACCTTCGGGATTTTACTTCACCCGCCCTATAACACAAACAAATCACCCAGCCTTCTCCTGGATTGATTGCCAAAATGACTTCATTAATCTCATTTACACACAGACAGGTAGGTAGAAACAGAGCTTCTCCTCATATACAGCTTAATGAACAATTTCAGTTTAACTCCTTGCAAGGACAGCAGTGTGGCATCGCTGAAGACTGGATAGTGGAGCTTTTTTGCTCTCTTAATTTTACTAGTATTTGGATTTCCTAACTGGACTCAGGTTGCCACTGTTGGTAAAGGAGGCATGCTCTTCACTCCCTCCATAAACTCCTATATTCCAGTGATCAGCTGCTGGGAATATTTTTTACCATAATAAAGAGATACCGGGCTGTGTTACTGAACTTTTTTCTTGGTGAAAGATGAAAATATTCCTACAGTGAGATTCATTAATGTTCATAGATAACAGCTAGCTGAAGTGCTTTGGAAGAAATTCAGGTGAGGAAAGGGCTCAAATGGTGCCTCATCATCTAGGAGGACAGCCAATTTCCTTTTGAAAAATGGAATTATCTACAGAAGATTTTGAGTCCATTGTCAATACAGACAGCTGTATTAAAACAAAACCTATCACCTGACCTAGGGGAAAAAAAAAGAAAACAAACCAACAAATCAAAGAATCTGTAGTAGGTAGAAAAGGAAAGCTCACTGTTCCTAGGGAATAAATATTTCAAAATGATAGGAAATACACCAGGAAGCATCAGCCCACCCTTTGGCTTTCAGAGCGCGGTGGAGTGTAGCAAAAGGCATGGCTGGCTACATTATTATTTGGTCTGCAATTTGCATTAGCACTAGAGGAATGCATTGAAAATTTTCAATAAATACAAGACAGCAACTACTACAGAAACAGCCCTTTGTACGAAAG